GTGTGGAACAAGAGTGAGCATGGGGCTGCTGTGAGTGAACGTGTGGCTTCTCTCAAAGCCAGGACCCTCAGGAGGAGGCAGCACGGTGGCCGTGAGTGTGGGAGGCTGTGTGAGTGAGCGAGGTGGGTCCAACCCAGCCATCCCTGTGCGGATGAGAATGTGTCTCACTCTCTGGGTGCCCACCCACCTATGAACAAACGTGTCTGTGTCCAGAGGGGCCCTCCACACGAGTGGATGTTTTGGGGATGGATGGGGGTCTGTCTATGTGGGAGCAGCTTCCCCACACAGATGGCAGCAGAAGATATGCTGTGTGAACTGAAAATGCTTTAGGGTCTAGCACTGGGGACATGCATGCGCATAGGCTTAAGAGAGGGAATGGAGGGTCTCTCTGTGAGATGAGGATGAATGGGGGCCAGTAGAGCAGGGAGGAGTGGGGAAAAAATTAGGAGAGGCTGAGTGTGGAGCGAGACCACCGTCCCAAAGGCAGTGGGGCCCGAGTGCCGGTGAGCAGCTGCATCTCCGTCCCCTTCCTGGTGTGTGCTCCAGAGGGTACCAAGCAAGGCTGAGAGATGTCCACGGACCAGGAGGCAAGACCCTGGAAGGATGGCCCTTGCCTAGGAGAGTAATCAGACCCTCACACACACGGGAATTTCAACTCTTTGCAGAGGACAGGCATTGCAAGGCCTGGAGGGAGGTGAGTTTGGTGCAGAGGTTCTGGAGAGAGTGGGGTTTTCTCTGCATAAAACAGTGGGAGGAAGGGGAGGATTGGGTGGAATGGGGACCAAAGCACATTTCAGAACCAAGAGGCCACATATTCAAGTTCTAGGTGACTTCACTGCTGCTCCCCAAGAATTTGGAAAACTCTGATGAGTGTGCAGAGGCCTGATGCGAGCAGGTGTTCTGGAGAAACCAAGGAAAGGGGCTGAGTTCTGGGTTTGAGTCAATCTGGAGCAGAGATAAAGGAAGAGCCGTGAAACCAGTGCAATAAAATTATAGTGCTAGCCACATATGTAATTTTTCATTTTCTAGCAGCCATCCTAAAAAAATTTTTTTAAACAGGTGAAGTTAATTTTAATAACGTATTTTATTTAACCCAGCATATCCCCAAATATTATCATTTCATCATTACATTTGCAGCACATCTCAATTTGAACTAGCCACATTTCAAGTGCTCAGTGGCAGTGGCTGCACACGGCCAGCGGCTGCCATACCAGACAGCGCAGCATCGGGCAGCAGATCAGGGCCAAGGAGCTCGCGAATTTCAGCCTCTATCCAAACTCACGGGGAGAGTTTGAAATCTTCGGGGTGCAGACTGGAAATCGAGCCATTTTGATCTGGATCTTAGGGGGCAGGGAGACCTCACAACTTCTGGTTTTGGGGAGATGATGCGAGTGCTTGTATGTAACAATGTCTCCGTTCCAGGAGCTGACAGATGCCAGACACTTGCCTGGTCCTCACAGATTCTCACAACAGCCCAGAGGCAGTTACGATTAACGTCTATGAGTAAACTAACTGTCAGAGCTGAGCTCCCAGCGCCGCTTGCTCTGACCCCAAACCCCAACAAATGCACCAACAGCTCCCTGTGAAATGGTGAGTGTGGGGGTTTCAGAATAAGGGAGAAGTGGGCATGTGGGGCTGAGGCCAGCTGTAAGCAGTGCCCTGTGACCCCACATCTGGCAGAGATCCTTCTCATCAGTTGAGAGGTGACCAGGAACCGTCTAGGGTCAGGCCGTGTGTGGGAGCTGTGTTTAGGATGAAGGGTGGAGGCACGCACTGGGTCGTGTGGGCAGTGCCGGCTGTGGGACTGGAGAAGCCGAGGGTGGAGGGGGTGCGAGGTCCAGTCTCCGGGGGGGTGGGAGTGGGACGCTGTGGCTACTCCTTGGCTGTGGGGGGTTGGGGCGTGACCGCCGGGTGGAGTAGTAGAGGGAGGCTCAGTGAGTAGAGAGGGACTGAGTGTGTCCGTGCCCTCCCCATACGTTGCCAGGCACAGCTGGGCATGCTCATGCGTGTGCCCAGGCACGGCACAGTGTCCTCTGCAGTCACGCCATCCTCCCGGCTACTTGTCTGGGCCACTTCCTTCCAGGCCGGCAGCCAGGCTCCCGTGTGCTCCTTGGAGCTGAGCTGGGAGGAAAGCGCTGCCAAGATCCCAGGGCAAAGCTGGGAAGCAGCGGGAAGCGAGGGGCTGGCCTTGAACTCTCCCATCCCTGGCCAGCAGAGGAAGAGCACAGAGGCTCTGCCTGGCTGCAGGGGCGGGAGCACTGAGACAGGGAGAGGGCAGCCCCCTCCTCAAGGGGCAGAGACCAAGGGGGAGCCACCCCAGACGGTAGGCTGGCTGCTCCGAGCCTCCGTTCCGAGCAGATTCTGTGCAACACTTGGTTTCAGCCAGAGGAGGAGCCCCCAGGGAAAGGAGGAAATCACAAATGGGAAGTCAGAGACACCCTTTTGTCAGAGAACCCACGCGGTTGGAGGGTGAGCACCCAAGGAGCCATTCAGTCAACACACGTCTGTTGAGCACGTATACTGAGCCAGTACTGGGCCTCTGCCTGCCTCCGAAGATGCTCATGGGATTAACTGACTAATGGGTATGGGATGCCCAGCCGGGAGGGGGACCAGAAAATAATGGCAGAAGCTTTGGCACTGGCCTCTTCACCCCCTTTGCCCAGAGAGGAGAAGCGGCCTCCTTAAGAGCTCTGAGCAACCCAGACCTGATGGCCTGCCTTTATGCGTTCCTTCAGACCGTCTTTCCTGAGTGCCTGCTGTATGCAGGCACTGTGCCCCCTGGAGGCACAAGAATCCTGCCCTCCTGGAGCACATCGAGGGCAGAAGCTGACCCCAATGAGCAGCTATGCAGAGCATCCTCTCAGAGAGAGGGAGCACTGTGCAGGGTGCCTTGGAGGCCTGGACTGAGGGGGCTCTCTGGGGAGGGGGAAGGTCTCTCTGAGGAGCTGCCATTTGGGCAGAGACCAAAAGGACCACAGTAGGGGGCAGTTGTGTGGATGTGGGGGGCTAGGGGTTCCTGGCAGAGGGAACAGCAGTGGCAAAGGCCCTGAAACAGGAGTATGTTCGGAGGCAGCGTGGCTGGAGCAGGTGAGTGGGGGAGAGCAGGTGGTGAGGTCAGAGAGGGGACGGGCCTGCACGCTTGGTCAGGGTGTGGGTTTTACTCTCATGTGAAGGGAAGGTGTCGGAGAGTTGGGAGTAGGGAGACGAGACACTCGGATTTTTCCTTTTAAAGATGGGGCCTGGCTGCTGCAGGCAGCAGGACTGCTGGACGTGGAGGCAGAGGTCCGGGCGAGATCCTGGGGCTGGACGGGGAGGGTCAGAGTGGAGGCCGTGGGAAGTGGCGAGATTTAGGATGTGTTATGGAGGTGGGGATTCTGGGGAGTGAGAGAAAGGGGAGGGGGGTCCAAGGGCAGTTTGGGGTCCTCAGGACCCCCTTGTCTATGCAGTTCTGAGCACCAGGAGGCAGTGTTCAGCAACTCAGCCCTCCTCAGGGATCCTTGGCCCAGGAGATGCCCGCTCCCCCTCCCCCCACGGCCCCAAGGCTGGGCCCTGGTCTCCAGGTGAGGGAAACTCCCTGCGTCCCACCTCCACCACCTGAGCCCCGGGGAGAAGTGGTGACAGGGAGTCAGCCCTGGGACGGAAGGGGTCCCGGGCCTGGCGAGTGGAGCTCAAAAGGGATTTAGGGGCCCAGGGCTGTCGGTGTCTTGTCCTTGTTTGAATTCTCCTGGAGCTGCCTCCTGGGTCAGGGGCCTGGGCCACAGTCCTTGCTCCTCTGCTCCCTCTCCTTTATCGGGGTCCCCTCTGTCCTCCCGAGGAGCGTCACATGTGACACTAGGTATGGCTCGGGAAGGCAGTGGACACGGTGAAGCCGGCCTGCTCTGGTCGTAACCATCTGGGAAAAACGAGCTGCGGCTGCTCCCTGGCCAGCTGAGCTGTCCAGGGCTCACACAGGGACCAAGCCAAGCTGGCAACACTCAGCTTAATGTCCAGGCCGTGCGGCGTCCTCTGGACCTCGGCTCTGTCCTTGGAGGAGCCCACTGGGAGGGGTCATTGAGCCTGGGCATTCGGGGTCCTGCCTCCCACCCCCTCTCTGCATATCTAGATCGGCTTCTCTCCCTACACTGCTTACAAAGCAGCTCCCCCTCCAGAGGATCTGGATGGGTAAGAGCCTGGATGTCTTGCTTCCAGAACCCCCCAGCCCTCCAGAAGGCAGTGTGAAGGTGGACACACCAGGGTGGAATCCAAGTTCTGCCACTTGCTTGTCCTGTGACCTCGGGTAAGTCACTTATTCTCCCTCGGCCTCAGTTTCCTTGTCTATAAAATGGGGATGATGATCCAGTAAGCCCTCACTGTCAGGTTCATGTGAGGATTAACAGCAGCACCACAGGTGCAGGGTGTTACCTCTTTCTTCCAGAGAACTTGAGAAAACAGCAAAATGTCAAGCGTCCACAGGGCAGGCTGGCGGCCCCTGGCTGCCCCTGAGGGAAGCGGAGGCAATGAGGCCCGGCGCTGCTGAGAGGCAGGCGTTGGCAACAACAGATGAGCAGAGCAGCAGGTATTTATTCTGGAAGACCCTCACCCCGCCCCATCCCCATCTCTCTGCTTATTCCAATCCTGGGGTCCATCGGGCCAGGAGCCAGAAGCAGGAGCCGGAATCAGGAGGAGGGATGTGGCCGTGGGTCGTGGCTGCTCTGCGAGTGGGGAGAGAAGGGAAGATAGGCCAGGGCTGGTGCTGGAACAGCAGAGGGAAGAGAGAGTGGGGGGTTGTGAGGACCAGGCCCTGGTTCTCCTGCCCTCCCCACCCTGACCCTCTGACGCCAAGGGCTTGGCACTGGGGAGCATGGCCCTGGCATTGCTGAGCACCCCCCACCGCCGCCTCAGAGGGGCAGGCAGGTCTGTGTGCCGCTCCTCTTGATGTCCCCCGTCCCCCACCACCCGCCCCAGCCTTGAGATGGAGGCCACCCATTCCCAGAAATGAGGCTGGCACTGCCCAGCCAGACCCACCTGGGCAGGCCCTCAGTGCTGGTCCAGGATGAGGGGCACCTGGGCGCTGTCCACCTGGGGAGGCAGCCGCTCGCCTGTGCGCACGTTGAACATGGGCAGGGTGGAGAGTGGCCGGGGCACCTCTCGGCTATCTGCCATCTGTCGCAGCTCCTCCGTGTTCCCACGGATGGTGCAGTGGTGGACCATCTGGATGCTGGGGCACAGGGCGGGCAGAGTCATCAGCTCTGGGAGTCAGCCCTCCTCCTCTGGGGTTCAGCTTGGCACTACCTCCAAGCCACCTTGCACTCTTCCCCCATTACATGGAGGGAGATTTACACCCAGGAAGTTCTATGGCACCAGCTCAGTGCCCAGTGACTGAGGCCTCGGCTCTGTATGCAGACAGCCTGGATTCAAAGCTGTGTGTCCTTTGCAAATTGCTTAACCACTCTGTGCCTCAGTTTCCTCAACTGTAAAATGGGGATAATAATAGAACCTACTTCCTAGGATTGCTGTGGGGATTAAATGAGAAAATGCAGGCTGAGTGTTTAGGAAGGTGCCTGGCATATGGTAAGAGCTCCTGAGATACTAAGACGCATAGCTAACCCCAGTGGATATACATCCCCAGAGGATATATGACCCTCTAGTCCCTTCTAGCACTCAGCTCCCTCCCCTAACACCCTCTCCCACCACCGAACATCCAGTCTTCCTCCCCTCCCCCCATCCCTGTCAGTCTGGTAAACACACCTCCTCCATCTTTCCCCACCTCCTAGCTTTTGCTCTGAGCTGTTTCCTGCCAGGCCTTGACCTTCTCATTTTCTGGCTCCTCAGACCTGTCCTCCGCTCTCTGGGTCCCTCGGCCCCTCCCACCCCCACTCTAGCCTGCCCCCAGCATGGACTAGCTCCAGACCCTGAATGTTGTGTCCGTCTTTGTTTCAGACCAAGGCTCCTCGAGGCCAGCACCAGGCTCCACCCTCCACAGGCTGGAAATCCCAGCAGCTCTGAGTGAACTGATGGCCACCTCCGGAGTCCCTCCTGAGCTCCACCTCCAGTTTCTCTTCAGAAGGTTCAGCCTCATTCTCATTTGGCATTCTCATGGGCTTGCTTTCTGCTGCCGAGGGGCAAGCTTTAGTTCATTCTGAGAAGTAGGGCAGCGTGAGGACTTGCTTTGGGTTTGAATGTGAATTCCACTGCTTACTGGCTGTGTGACCTTGTGTGAGTTACTTAACCTCTCTGTGCCACCATGTCCTCAAATGTAATGCAGTTATGGTATGAATTAAATGAGTTCATACCAGAAAAACACTTAGAGTGTCTCCTAGTCAGCATGCAGCAAGTGGTAGCTATTATTACAGGGAGCCTTCAGTTGCTATTATCATCATCAGTATTATTTTATTATAGTAGGCCCACTGATGAACTTGGCCACCGGTGGAGGCATGTTTCCAAGCCCTTTCTCGTGAACCCACCCACATTTGTGGGCTCAGCCTGGAGACATCCTTTCAGACTACCTGGTTGCTGAGTCAGACAGACAGCAGGGACTCTTCATCATAAACAATAAGAATTGGGGTTTTCTTTAAAGGGGTGGGGGACCCGGACAGGGGGGATGCAATCCTACTTGCCACTGGGTTACTGATCAAATAGGGGAGGACGAGTGATCGTCACCCATGTCCAAATCTCAATTAGTGGGCACAGACTCCAGCGAGAGCCTGAGAGATTAGACTACAGGAAGGACTTCTAGCTTCAGGCTGAATGGGCCACACTCCTCCTGGGGGGGAGTAGGACCAATCCCATCTGGCCGGCGGGAGGAGGTGGAGTCACCCTCTAAGGCCCGGGGAGGGTCAAGATGAGCTCTTGATTCTGGAATTTGGTAAGCAGAGTTGTCCAAAACACAATTTTCCATTCCCAGGCAAGGGAGGCTGAGGGGGAAAGGGAGCAAGAAGCGTGTGGATGCTGAGGGCTGTAGGCAGCCAGGCAGGTAATGCCCTCGGTGCAGGAAGGGCCTTAGTTAATGTGCCCCCTCCCACCCCCCAGCCCCACATCTGGGTCTCATTACTCCGGCAACACACACAGGTGGAAAAATGTCCTGGGGATGTTTTTCCAGAGCAGGAACAGTAGCCAGACCTGTGGTGTCTGCCCCCACAGTCCTTCCACATCAGCACTTGGGCAGACAACAAACGGGCAGGCATTCCTGCACACACACGCACACATACGCGCACACACACACTCCACCACAGACACACAGCCTCTCCTCTGGCACATAGACCGCAGGAAAGGGTCGTTGGGCTGGAGGACTTTCTGACCAGACACAGGTGAAAACCAGGCAGCAGAATCACAATTTGCAGATAATTTGAAAAATGGTAGACATTGAAAAAGGAAAAAAAAATTGGATTCTGTAGAAATAAATCAACAGAAAATTCAAACCTGCAAAGACTAATGTCGCACACGGTAAAATTGGTTATTGATTCAAAATTGATGGAGGAGGCCAATTTTCCTGACACCATCAGAGCTATGAACCTGGCCCAGGAAAGCTGGAAGTGGCAGAAATAACTGGTCACAGGAGAATATCCAGAACAGCAGAAGATATAATTAATCAAATTTGGCACAGGCCAAAGAAAATGAGGAATAAAATCCTCCTTGTAAAATTTACATAGAAAATCACTGATCCCAATGGGAAAAAAAATTGAAAATAGAAAAAAAAAAGCAAAGCCTTTTCATTGCTGTGTATAGAAAGTTGATCAAAGAATTAAATTGACTTAGGTAGATCAAGGAATGACATTTCGGTTCACTCCGGAAAATATATTCCCCATAAAAATTCATAAATGTTGGTATAATTCTGATTCTAAAAATGTTTGTATTCCTCAACCCAATGGGTTGAGATGGTGGGGTCAACACGCTGGGTTTGAAGCTGGGGTCTCAGAAGACCCTGGAATCGGCTGGTGTGTGTACATATACACCCATGAGTGTGCACACACTGTGTGGGTCTGCCCATCTGGCCCACGCAGCCACAGCCCTTCTTCGCAGGGGACCTTGCATGTCAGATGCCCCTCCCAGGAGGGAACAATGAGGCCATTATGACCCTCACAGTATTCTGGTGGCCTCACAATGTCCCCCTGAGGTCACCACAGAGATAACCTTACTACCCCCTACGTCCGAGGCACAAGTCTGCTGAGGCCAGCCGTGGGTGATCATCCTTGGTCCTCCTTTTGGCCACCCAGGGGAAGGCTCGGGCCAGAGGGAAGCCTCTGAGGGAACCAGGAGCCGGGACGCACCTTACCCACCAAGGAGCAGCCCAAGGGAGACTTCCAGCTTCCATCCTGGAGGTCCTCATACCCAGTTCCCTTCCCCAGGAAGAGATGCAGAAAGACACTTCGCAGCCACCCCTATCTGCGCCCTTGGCCTCAAACACCCCCCTGGGTGCAGGCCAGCAGGCCAGCGTGTCAGGAGGCCCTAGCAAGAGCGAGGCTGGGCGCGGCGCCTGCCAGAAGAAGCCCAGCATATCCAAGGTGATCCTGGGGGTCGTGGCGGACAAGGGGGTGTACAACCGCATATCCCTGGCCGCCCTGAAGAAGGCTGTCGCCAACGGGGGCTACAACATGACCCGCAACGCCTGGCGCTTCAAGCGAGTGCTCAAGGGGCTGGTGGACAAGGGCATGGTCAAGCAGGTGACCGGCAAGGGGGTCTCAGGCTCCTTCTGCATGGGCAAGAAGAACGCCTCCGAGTTCAAGCTCAAGGTCAAGAGACAGTGGCAGCGGCGGCCGCAGTTGGGGCAGCGCCGGTCTGGGCAACGCCCGCCTGGGCCGCAGCGGCCTGCGCAGCGCAGGTGGTTACTGGGCTCCAAACAGGGGCACAAGCGGCGCATCAAGGGTGTTCGCAGGGTGGCCAGATGCCGCCGCCATTAACGAAGCAAGCCGGGCAAGCAGGCGGGCGCCAGGCCTGCCACAGGCTCCGCGCAGCGGGAATAAAACGAGCCTGCCGTATGTCACACCTGCCTCCTGGAATCTCTGGGGTTCAGGGGATGGGGAGAGGAAGAGGGCTGTGCACAGAGGAGGGGGGAGGCCACGGGCTGGGAGACCTGGGCAAAATAATGGGAAGATGGATTTGGACAGGGGTGGAGGAATTGAAAGCATCCACACACATTAGGTAGTCCAACCACATCACAGGGGGAGAAACTGAGGCCAGAAAAGGTCACAGTGATTATGCGGCAGAACCCAGCTTGGAACCCAAATGCCTGACTCACGGTGAAGTGTGCGTGTGTGTGTGTGTGTGTGTGTGTGTGTGAAGCCTCTTAAACTGCTTCTCAAACACTTTTCCCCAGGGTAGCAGCTGGTCCCCAGAGCCTGGCCAGGTCCCCTCCCCTGTCCCATTCCACGTTAGACTCTGCCATGGAGACCAGAAAATGAGAAGGTTAGGCCAGGATAGGTCAGGCCCAGCATCCAAGGGTGGCCCCCATCACCCCAGAATAATCTGGTGTGTCTATGCTGCTCATGACGGTTAGAGGGTCCAGCTTGACAGTCTAGGGGCGTTCCCACCCAGCTCCCAGCTTCCCCTACTCACTCAGAGGTGGCCAGGTCTCTCTTCAGCCTGAGGAAAAGCAAGGGAGGGGATTGACTATTAGCCACAGCCCCCTCCTGGTGCCAGGCCAAGCAGGACCCGAGCCCTTAGCTGCCTAGAAAGGGGTCCCCCACTCCTTTCCTGGCTGGTCCCCCACTCCTTTCCCACTCCCTTAGGGATCTGGGTCCCCACACAGCACAAGTGCCACAAGGAGTCCCACGGATGTGAGCACCAGCCACAGTGCCCTCCCTGCCTCCGTCCCCCACACTCACCGTCCCTCACGCCGGCAGCACATGACATAGGCCAGCAGTAGGGTGAGCAGCAGGGCCACCAGCAGAGGCACCAGGAGGGTGACCAGCGCGTCAGTCAGGAAGTCTCGGGCCGTGGCCTCAGTGGGTGGGCAGAAGAATGGGTCATGCTCCAGGATCCCGTCGCCTGGGGTGGGCACCTCATCTGCGGGCTCTGGCACTGACTTATCCACCTGCTCAGAGAGCCCAGGGCTGACCCAGGAGCAGCTGGCTGGACACAGAGACCCCCGGGGCACAGGGCAGGGGTTCCGGGACCACCCTCCTATTGCCCCATGCAACCACTAGAGTTTCCTCCTGCCTGCCTCTGCCAGCTCAGCTGACCTAGCAGGATAAGCCCTGGACCAGGAGCCGGGAGAGAAATTCTAGGAGAGGCAGGACTGTACAATGGTTAGAGCACAGCTCTAGGGTCCAACTATCTGGGTTGAATCCTGACTCAGACAGTGCTTTGCTAGAATGACTTACCTCTCAGTGCCTCAGCCTCCTCACCTGTAAGGTGGAAATGCTAATAGTGGTACCTGTCCCCTGGGGTGGTTGTGAGGATAAAACATGTTGATTGCATAGTGCCCTGCACAGAGCACATGTTCAAGAATGTGGTTGATGACCAGGCCCTGGCTGCGCTGTCGGACAATTCACGGGAACAGAGTACTCCGGGGGTTCCCAGCCCGGGGAGTCAGGGTCTCTAGTGACCCCAGATTCTTCAGCTCAATATTCCAAAGAGCAGTAGTGAGCGTCTTTGGTTTATTACAGGGGGGTGAGAGCTATCTGTTCCTTGCAGGCAGATTTGCAAGGTGACACCTTAGAAGGAAGCAGACAGAGCTGTCACACAGAGGCCCTTGGTGGGGAAAGGGTTTTGGAATCGCCCTGGGATTTCAGGAGTTTGAGATCCCTTGTCTGGATTATGGACTCTGTCGCCCTCTCGTGAGAGAAGGTGGAACTTCAGTGTGTGTGTGTGTGTGTGTGTGTGTGTGTGTGTGTGTGTGTGTGTGAGACAGAGAGAGAGAGAGAGAGAGAGAGAGAGAGAGAGAGAGCGCAGATAATCAGAGAAAGATACAGGGACAGAAAGACTGGGGTGGGAAAGGAGGAGGGAGGAAAGTGATGGGCCCACGCCCCACCCCCACCCCGAGCCAGGGTCCCTCCTCACCAGGGACACGTTGCACCAGTCGACACAGAAGTGAGGTGCCAAGGTGTCATAGCAGGACAGAAGCGGTGGCTGGCCCTGGGCACAGCGAGCGTGGCTGTCGGGGGACGCCACCACCTTCAGGCAGGTGGAGAAGGGTGAGGCAGAGCCCACCTTGATGTACACCCTGGGCCCGGATAGAAGCCACCGTCAGCAAATTAGGGAGGTGTCTGTGTGGCGCAGTGGAGATTTGAGGGTTACAGGGCCACCCTGAGATCTGGGGTGATGCGAGAGTACACAGCACTCCAGTCTTCCAGGGGCCTTATCCCTACAGGAATGCCCTTTGACGGATGGATCGTTCACGTCCTCACGGGGCACCACGAAGTGCAGAGTTCAGGGTAACTAGGGTTTGGACCCAGGAAGGGCAAGAGGGAGATGAGGGGGCGGCTGGAGGGAGGTGGACAGTAGTGTGAAGCAGGGAGGTACAGATGGGCGTGGTGAGGGTGCACAAAGGTAGGTAAAGCCCCACCAGGAAATTAGGGAGACCCATGTTCTATGCCCTCCACCCAGACAAAAGGCAAGCTGCCTCCTCCTCCTCCAGGAAGCCCTCCTGGGCTGCAAGCCTACCCCTCCTTGCGGCCCTCAATGGGAAGGGGGACGCGGCCCCCACGGTCCAAGGCAGAGGTGATGTTGAGCAGCTGGAGCTCCCCTGGCTCCCAGAGCCCCGCCAAGGCTGTGAGGAAGCGGCTGGCAGGCATCGCGGGCAACACCTCCTCCACATCATGGCTGCTCACCAGGAACTCAGCCTGGTATGGCAGCAGGGGGCCTGGAAGGACCAGGTTGGCACCTCAGGCTATACTCAGCCCTGCATGGATCCTTCCCAAGCCTCCTCTGACCCCCCTCCCTCAGACCCTTCCTTTCTCCCTAACACCCCACACATCACAGGCCCCAAATGCCCTTCCCCAGCACCACGGCCTCAATGACTCACCCAAGGCCCCACAGACTGTCAGCAAAGCAGCTAAGAATACACCTTGGAGTCTTTCCAGCATGCCCTGCTCCCCACTACTCTCCAAGTCTCTCCCTTCCACCCCCCACCTTCCAGGGGAGATCCCCCAAGATTGGTGTTGGTGGGGAGAGTGTGGGGCAAGGCTGGTGGTACCTTCTGGGTCCCCAATCAACAGCACCAGCCTCTGCTGGGTGGTGTCAAAGCTGTCCCGATTGTAGGCTGTGACCTAGGGGAGGGATGGGGAAGAGGGCCAAGAGGTGGGGTTAGGAGAGAAACGGTGCAGCTGGGGCCTGGCAGGAGAGGATTGAGATGCCACCAAATTAGTAGCATGTAAATAATGTGAACAAACTTGAATGAACACACACATGCGCCATAGCCTCTTGGGGGCCCTGCTGGTACCTCGATGACCTGGTGTCCACGATCTTCTGGGGTGGGGGCGCCGTAGAGGAAGCCAGGGTGGTGGGGGCTGCGCTGGGTGTAGCGGAGCCATCGGGGCAGGTCTGGGTGTCCCTGGAGGTGGGCGTGGTAGGTGATAGGGACGGTGGGTGGGACAGCTGGTGGAAGGGAGGAAAGGGGATTAGAGACACGACAGAGCCTTTGCCAGCCCAGGGCCAGGGACCCCCAGCCCAACCCAGTGCCCATCAGGCTCTCTCACCGACTTGTTCAGGAAGGTGCGGGAAGGTTTCATGGTCCAAGGTGTGCACGAAGACACGGCCCACAAGTGGGTGCTGCGTGGTCTCCTGGGCCTCAGTGGCCCCCAGCCCTGCCAGGAGACCTGTGGGGACCCCACAACCCCAAACACATGGACCAGCCTGAGTCCTGGGCAGGGGATAAGCTGCCCCTCCCCACCACATCCCACATGCCCCTAAGGGATGGGGAGAAGTAGGTGAGAGAGGGGGGCTCCTTTGTTGGCTCCCAGGAAAGGACAGAGAGGGGCCCTGCCTGTGCCATACACTTTAATCTGGGACAAGACCCAGACTGCCCCCCACTCCTCATTTTAGGCCCCCATTGGGGGTCACAGTGGGCAAGGACTGATGTTTGGCTGGGAGAAGTGTGCGGTATGTGTGTGTGTGTGTGTGTGGGTTTGTGATAAGTTCACTCTGAAAAGAGCCTCATGCTGAGTATCTGGGAGGCTGGAGAGAGGGGGAAAGAAAGAAGCATTTGGAGGAGAAGGGTAGCCATTCCGGGACTCCCCCCCACCCCAACATACGGGGAGCAGGGCCTGCACTAGAGGCCAACAGGAGCTGAGCAAAGGGGACCCTGAGTCCTGGGGAGGGGACCTACCCTGGCAGGGCCCCCACACCCTCCCAGCGCCAAATTTAGCCTGGGCCCAGGAAGAAGCCACCCTGGTCGGCCCGTTAAAGGGCCATGACGCTCTGGGCCTGCGCTGTCAGGCCGACCCCCCCAGGACGCTCCAACTCTCAGAGCTCCCAGTGCCCACATTCCAGAGCCCAGCTCCCAGCCCAGTTCCCTTGATCCCCTGCCGCATGTGGCATTTACCCCCCAAAGTCCTGCTGGCCCCTGCCTCAGCCCCTCAGGCCCCTCCCCTGAGGAGCTTCCATACTTCCATCTCATCACCCCTAAATCCACCCCCTCATCCTGGACCTCTGCCCTGCGAAGGCCCCAACTTGCCCACAAGGAGAGGAATCCAGATTGGTGCTGCAGCCATGGCTGCCTCAGCCTGGCCGCCTGTGAGTGACAGAGACAGGAGCTGGGAGGAGGGAGGGAGGGCAGGAGGGAGGAACGGGGAGGTGTCCCAGAGCAGCTGGGCCCTGGCTTCAGCCAGGGCGGCCCTCCCCATCCCCACCCAGAGCAGGCACCGAATCTAGGGTGGACACCTTCCTCATGTGACAAGGCCCCTCCAGTCAGCCCCTCCCTGTGGCCAGAGTAGGTTTTCTAAACCACCCACCTGACTGCCTCCGTGCCCCCTTAAAACCCTAATGGCTCCCACTGCCCTGAGTTCCCCAGCTGCTGATGGCTTTCCCCCGCTTCCTGTACCTGGCCATCCTGACTAGAATCCCCCCCTCTACCCGCCACCACACACCCACACACACACCCACACACACCACCCCAGGCTTCTGCCCAGCCTCCCTCTGCTGCCCTCCTACCCGACATGCTCTCCTGAGTCCGCATACATTGGCACAAGCTGTTCCCTCTGCCTGGAGTCCCCTTCCTGCCCTCGTCCAACTGGCAAACTTCCACCCACCTTTCAAGACTCAGCAGAGGCATCGTCTCCTCTCTGAAGCTTTCTGTGCTCCCCGGGGCAGAGCTGGGGACCCCCTCAGCCCCTATGCACAGCCCGACCACACGGGATAGTGGGGCAGACCATCTTTGTGTCACTGGACCTGGCATAGGGCCTAGTAACCAGTAGGTGCAGGGGGCTAGGTGACAGCTTCCTTCCCGGCACATGAGGGTGCCCGTTCACCCAGCCTCATGCTCAGACCAAGCCCCCCCAACGTGTACCCCAGGTCGGGGAAAAGAGAGGCCTGGGCAGGAGAAACCAGGTAGAGACGGGGGGCGGGGTCGGGGGCACAGGATTGGAGGCCTGCAGGCCTGGACACGAATCCCACCCTGACCACCTACTGGAGACATGGCCTGGAAAGAGTCGGTCACCGTCCCTGGGCTCTGTCTCCACAACTACAAACTGGCGAGAATAGTGCTCGCCTCTCCGTGTCCTTGCAAGGAATCCACAGAATCGTGGATCCAGCACATATTTGTGGAGCACCAACCATGGACCAGGCACGGAGGACACAGAGACGAGCAGACCTCTGCACGTGTGGGGCTCGCCTGCTGGGGGGTCATGAAGGCTAACCCCCGCCTGCTCCTCCGCCGAAGGTTTATATGTATTTACAGGGAGTAACTCATTCAGTCCCCATAGCAGTTCCGTGAAGAAAGTATTACTATTGTCCCCATTTTACAGATGGGAAAACTGAGGCATGAGGGGTGTATAACTGACCGGCTGAATGCATGTAGAAAGCTTAGGCCAGTGCCCAGCTCAACCCCTGACACCGCTGAGGTACTTGCTGGCAGGCATCACTTCCTCTTTCTTCCTCCATCTGTGGAGGGATCTAAGTCTGGAGGTGAAGGGGATGGGGTGCCCTTCTCTCCCGGGGCTTCCCCCTCAGAGCAGGCAGAGGGGCACTCTGTGTTCTGAGAAGGAGGCAAGGGCTCATGGATGCCAAGGTTCCAAAATTCTTGGTGCTTGTGTGAATATCCCTCTTGGGCCTTGGCACAAAGAGTGTTGCCACCTCACCCCCATAACCAAACGCCCAGGCAAGGACGTCGGGGCCCTGCCCTGAGTTGGGCCGGAGGGGGAGGGTGTTGTCCTGCAGACTGGGGTGACCGGTGGGCAGTTACTTAGTCCTTGTCTCTTCCTCTCTCTCCCCACCTGACCATCCCACCTGTCCCTGGAGAGCCAGCAAATCCCAGAGTCAGCGTGCACTCAGGCTCTCAGACAGGGTGGTGTTTGTCCCCGAGTCACCCTGGCACCCCTCTGCCTTCTCAGAGAAGGAGGGCAAGAGGAAGAAAGGTTCTGGAGGCAGAGGGAGAGCCAGAGGGCTCTGGGATAGCAGGTGGAGTTGCCAGGGCCTGGCCAGCCGCCCGGGCCTCAGCCCCTCAGCGGCTCCATGTGACTCCCCACCCTCCCCCTGCTGCCTCCCCTGCTATTTTTGGAGCCACCCACTCACACTCTCAGCTGTCTTAAGGTGGCAGTGCCCGAACCCAGTGCCACCAGGCCCACAGCAGCCAGCCTTCCTTATTAATCCTTCTCTCCCTCCCCAAAACCAGGGGAACCAGGGGCTGTGCCAGGAGCCAACTGGAAGTCCCCTGAAAGTCTCCTCTGGCCCACCTGAGGACCCCCGCCCCCACCTCAGAGCCTTGTGGATTGCAACCTGCTGCTGTCATATTAGCACCTCTGTTAGTTGGGGCCTGGGGGAGGGAGGAGGGTCACAGGGTCTTTAAACTTATTTTGGAGATTTTTAAATAAAACAAAAATATACAGAATAATCTAAGGAGCCTCCATATATCCATCACCCTTCAACACTTCAACAATTATCAACTCAAGGCCAGTCTCATTTCATCTACTCCCCTCCCAATTTTCCCTTTCTATTTAATTTCCTCTGTTCAGTGTCTATCTTGGAAAGATAATGTCTCTTTTTTTACATAATCACAATTATTATACCCAATCAAATGATTATACCTTAAAGTTAATAATAATTCCTTAATACCAGATCTAGTGTTCAAATTTCCAATTTCTCATAAGTGTCATTTTTTTTGCAGTGTATTTGTTTGAATCAGGATCCAAATAAGGTACACACACTGAAACTGATTGATAGGTCTCTTTTGAATCTCTTTAAATCTATAGGTTTCCCCTCCAACTCCCTCTCTCTCTCTTTTTCCTTGAGGGAACCAGGTCATTTGCTGTGTAGTTTTCCATAGTCTGGATTTTGCTGATTTCATCTCTATAGTGTTTTTTAACATGTTCCTCTGACCTCTGTACTTCTTGTAAATTACATTTCCTGTGCATTCTTATTTCCCATAGATTGTAATTGGACGGAGACTAGGTCCATTTTCTTTGGCAAGACCACCTCATAGGTGGTGGTGTCACTTCTTCCACCCAGAGGCGCAGGAGCCACTGATACTCAGTGCCTCATCCATCAGCTCATTTTTTTTTTTCAAAACAATATTCCAATTCAATCACTCCTTCTTTTATTAGCTGGAATAATTCTAGACAGAGAAACTGCCCCTCACTTACTATTTGGTTACTGAGTGGAATACAGCTCATATAGGAAAAAGGGGATAAATACTTGATTCTGTTCTTGTATTTACCAATTACCAAATAATGAGCTGATTCCCTAGCATCCTCCAAATTGTGACCAATTACCTTTTTTTAAATTGGTAGTATAGTGATAAATTTATGGTTTTAAACGTATTTGATTGTTTCAACCCATTGCGACTAGTGTCCCTCCTGGGGCTATGTCCCATCTTGATCCTCACCAGTTGGAGCATCCATCTGGAGGACTGGAGTGTCAGGTCTCTGCATGTCGGTCTCTCTCAGCCTTGTCTTCACGAGCCCAGCCCGGGTTCCCGCGTCTCTGCTTTACTCCTGCTACTCCAGCCCTGCCCTCAGCAGCTGGTCCCCGCTGCTTTGCCATCCGCACCTGTCTCCCCAGCTTTCTGCCCCATCTCAGCCCGTTGAGGTCCCAGTTTAAGCCCTCTGGTCCTCTGTCCTTGTCTTTCCCCACCTCAAACCCCGCAAACCAGTGAATGTTGAATGAATGAATGATTGAATGAATGAATGAATGCACCATCTCCCCAACTCTGTCTCATTCTGCTTTCGTCTCTATGAACCTGTCTCTTGATCTCCGAGGGCTATATTTTCTTCATCTGCCTCTAAAACGGGGGATTATATGCTGTCATGAGGGACAAAGGAAAGGGATTCTCATCATTGTGATCTGATCTGTGACTCTAGCCGCCGCGCTCAGTACGCACCTCGAACGCGCATCTCCAACCAGACTCCACCCACATCTTCCTCCCCCATCCTCTTCGCCCGCCCCCAGCGCGACAACAAAGCGTGCGATCTGTCAGTCCGCCACGAGAGGGCGCGTTCGCCGGCTCCAGCCCGGAACTGCGTCTGCGCAATATTGGGGCGGAGCGGGGGGTGGAGGGGCGGAGCGGGGGGGTGGTGGGGCGGAGCGGGGAGCGGAGGGGCGGGCTGGCCCTGGAGCGCCCCGCCCGGGGTTGGAGATGCCCGTTCGAGGTGCGTACTGAGCGCGGCGGCTAGAGGGGGCAATGGAGGAGGGGACTCAGCCTCTAGCACCACCTCGTCCTCCCCTTCTGGAGGATGTTCTTCTAAACGGAGAGGAGAACCCGCGTGGAGACAGGGGACTGGACACAGTGCCCTCTTCCCTACTCGCCCCATCATCTACATCCACCCTCCGACTTCCAAGGACATTTCCGTATTTCCCCACCCCTCCACGACACTTAGGGGCACCAGCCTGAGGACCTAAGTGTACCCAGAATCCTCCCCGCCTTTTATCCGTGGACTTCAAAGGGGTTCCTTGAGCCTCGTGCCCGCCCGGAGCCATCAAACAGGAGTCTGAGAATGCCAGAGACCATCCCTGGCCAGACTTTGTAGCTTACAGGAGAAACAGAGACGGGAGGGACTGTCTGAGGCCCCACAGCACAGTATTCTGCACAGCTAGATCTCTGGGCGTGGAGCCAGAGCCCTTTCTACCGAGACACTCCCTCTGTAAAGTGGGGTAATAAGGATCAATGAGATAATGGAAGCGAAAGTGCTTTGTAAACTGTAAAGCCCTGGAGAAAGTAAGGGGTGTTTTATTTATTTATAACTGATGGTGCAAGGCAGTAGCTGCCCAGAGGCCAGTCCACTGGCACAACCTGAGAGTTGGGAGAAGTCAGATTTAGAAGCCACCACTCAGTGATAGAAGGATGAGGAAAATAAAAGCAACAAAATCTCTGACCTTTTTTGCAAATGGTATGATTATTTATATAGAAAATCCAAGAGATTCTACAATCGTGTTATTAGAGTTATTCAGAGAGGTCAGCAAGGTTGCTGGACAAAGATTAACATCCAAATACAAATAAAATACAAAATTCAACAGTGTTTCCATACACTAGCAAAAATTTATTAGAAACTATAACATCTTTTTAAAAATAAATCATTCATAATAAAATTAAAATTGTACTGAACCCAGAAAA